AGCATAAGCTTTCATGGGTGAATATCCACTTTGTCAGATGCATGTAGTGGAAATTTCCAGAGGCAGGTATAAATATGCAAGCAGGAATCAGGCTAGGGATAACGAGGTTAGTTCAGTCAGGGAGGATGAGGCCCTCTTCTAGCAGTTGAGGTGTGAACACCAAGGGAGGAGAAACTGCTTTTGTAGTTGGCTAGCCATTCACAGTCTGTGTTTAATCCTGAGCTGATGGTGTCCAATTTGCAATTGAACTGAAGCTGAGCAGTTTCTCTTTGAAGTCTTGTCCTGAAGTTTTTTTGCTGCAGGATGGCTACCTTTAAATCTGCTATTGTGTGTCCAGGGAGGTTGAAGTGTTTTCCTACAGGTTTTTGTATATTGCCATGCCTAATATCTGATTTGTGTCCATTTATCCTTTGTGGCAGAGCTCCAACCTTGTCCCCTTGGGTCCCGTGCTTCCAGGCAGTTTATGCTAGCTTCAAAAGCTCACTGCAACCCTCCACGTAGCCCTTCTCTTTCTAGAGCCAGGGATACAGTCTACTGAGCCCTTTTCATCATAAGCCAGCAATGGAGGTTGGTGAGTTAATTTCCACAGTCTCTGTTGCTCTACTGCCCAATGCCAAAACAGTTTAGCCTCCTGTCCTCATTTTTTTCCAGATAAGTTATTGCAATTAGGACTGCAAGCACTATGAAGCAGGGACTATACTTGTTAGTTTTTTGTACTGCACCTAGCACAATAGGTATCTGCACCTAGCAAAAAAGCAAGGAGCTAGGCCAAAGCTACAACTAATAATTACCAATCATTTAGAACTCATACAGTATTTCTAACACCATGACAGATTTTCAAGTTTAAAAATCTCTGCCTACAGAGATTGTATGAGTCATACTGTTTGCATCTTCAAAATTTGTTGTCATATCTAGAGGAAATAATTAATTCAGCTACAAGGATAAAGTTTTATTACAGCCTTTATAAAGGATTTGAGGATTACATTGAATAGTGCAGCAATCGAGCCGATTTTTTTTTCAATAGCACCTTACTGATGAAAGGTTTTCCAGTGCTCTGCACAAAGAAATATAAAGCAGTTTTCGGGATTTGGCAACAACTCCCCCAGAGACCTAGATTTTTAAACTTATTGTATTATAGGGAAAGCTGGGGGGGGGAACATTGTCCCAAAACTGTTTTAGATGAGGGAGACACAAGACAACCTGGCTATCTTCTTGGCTTTCTGAAAGCGCTAATGGATCTTTAACACCCAACTTTGAAGTAGGAGTAGATCTTATCTTTGTATCTCCTTTAAAGGAATTAACCTCTAATCCTTTCTCAGCACTTCACAGGTTCCTTGCACAAGACAACCTGCATGGGTGTAAAGAAGAACACTGAATTTTTGCTTTATCACATGTGACAGGGGTGGGCCAGATGGCTATAGGAGAGTAATAGAAGGCAGATATATTAGCCCCAGGCTAAGTAGGTCCCTTTTCCCTTGGTAGGGTAACAGGGAAGGTTCCAAAACACCCAGGATCCTTCGGGAGACATTTAAGACAGGCTGATTAGAACACCTGCAGCCAATCAAGAAGCTGCTAGAATCAATTAAGGCAGGCTAATCTGGGCACCTGGGTTTTAAAAAGGAGCTCACTTCAGTTTGTGGTGTACATGTGAGGAGCTGGGAGCAAGAGGCACTAGGAGCTGAGAGTGAGTACGCGGACTGTTGGGGGACTGAGATGTACAAGCATTATCAGACACCAGGAGGAAGGTCCTACGGTGAGGATAAAGAAGGTGCTGGGAGGAGGCCATGGGGAAGTAACCCACGGAATTGTAGCTGTTGCACAGCTGTTCCAGGAGGCACTCTAGACAGCTGCATTCCACAGGGCCCTGGGCTGGAACCCGGAGTAAGGGCAGGCCTGGGTTCCCTCCAAATCCTCCCAACTCCTGGTCAGACACAGGAGGAGTCGACCTAGACTCTGAATTCAGAAAAATGGCCAAGCTGAGGGCTGTCGTGAAGCTCCAAGGTGAGCAAATCCGCCAATAAGCGCAAGACCCACCAAGGTAGAGCAAGAACTTTGTCACACAAAATTTACAATTGTATGTTTTCTGCATACCTTCTTACAATCTCTGAGTTGTCATAGCTGATGCTTCCTCTTATGATGTGACTCTAGTGAACCACAATTACCAGCAGCCACCAGTGATGCCAACATTCTCAATAAACATTCAGACAACACTTTCTTAAACAAAACTTATGAAGACTAAAGCCAATGTTCGTGGGCAGCTGGGAATTAAAGTATGTTGCGAAGTATTGCCTACTTATGACTTTTTCCTTAAAGTCCTATCTGCCAGAATCATGTGATTACAATGAGAATCTCAGCTTTCATTAATAATAAAACATTTCTAGGTCTAATGATTGTAAAGAAAAGCTTGAACATATGGCACAAGTTCAGCATAAAGATTCAAGTCAGCTGACAAATAAGTCTCACTTTTTAAGCCCATATTATAATTGGGAGGGGAGCGGGGTTGACATGATTTTTTTGAATGCTTGCAGTTGGCAATACTGACATGGTCACTGGGGATAAAGCTTCTAAACGAGTGCTATTCAAAGTGGTCGTCCATGGACTGGTGCCATCAGCTGCCGATCTGCGCACACATTGGAAAAAAAAATTGCCGGTCCCCCACATCAGATACCTTGAGAAGCACTGTTCTAATTCTGTCTTGGGCAGGTGTTTGATATATTTCCCTTTGTCTCTTCTGCACATTGAGAATACTTGTAAAGCTTGTCATGCCAGTAAAATATTGTAGGAAGTAAATTGTGTTCTGACAAACACAAAAGGATTTATCCAGAATCATTTTGTGAGAGACCTCATTTAATCAAGAATTGTTACGATATTCCTGCACTTCCTTCCCAAAATGTGAATTTAAAGAAAACAATATACATTGGTCTAGTCTACAGCAACCCTGGCTCAAAGTCTGTTAGCATATAAGCCTGTTTGTTAGCCTGAGATAGAATTTTGGGTTTTGACTTTTAATACTCTTACATCCTTACTAATATGTGTGAAGAACAAAGGACAAAGATGCTGTGTGTTGCATTTCCCACAACCAGATGGGGCTTTTATTACAATGCGACAGATAAAGGATGGAGCTAAAATAGTTACAGGGTATGGTAGGAGTGTAATATATGAACGCACACTTGACAACTGCCTCAACTCCTTATCTCAAAGCAAGGTCAGGCAGCCAGTCAGGAGGCGCGTGTTAGGGGGCTTATTCCTTCACCCACTTACTTCCCTGGTCCTTCTCACATGAACAGAGAGCAACAATACCCGAAGTCCAAAGGTGCAAACAATTCGATGTTTATTGGGGTGAACTTCCAGCAAGCATGATTCCAGTTTCCTTCCTTAGTATCCTCCTTCCCAGCTCTGACACCACAGAGCCTTACGCCTGTGTCCCTGTTCCTACCCTTAGCCACACATGATTCCAACTTCCTTACTCCCATTCCCTGTTCCCATTTCCCCCTTTAGCAAAACATGATTCCAATTTTCTTACCCTCATTCCCTGTTCCCATCTCCCCCTTTAGCAAAACATGATTCCAATTTTCTTACCCCCATTCCCTGTTCCCATCTCAGACACCCACATGCCCACCCCCACCCACACCCACTCACTTCCTCATTGACTACAGATTATATAGTAAAACTTGAGTTCTGCTTAGCTATACCTTAACCAATCATTTTCCTGAAATTTAACTAACCAATCCTAACATATTGTAACATGATTATGTAACCAATTATATCCTACCACCTTAATTAGTTTACACCCAGCAAAATTAATTATACAGCAGACAGGAACAATCACAGAACCAGAGAGATTATACAGACAAACAATAGCAAAGTGGGAACTATAATGACAAAACAATACAGAAGTGAGGATTTCACATCCCAGCTATTGATAAGTGAGTTCTTGCCAGACAGGATGCTATCAAACTAAGTTTTCTTTTACATTTTCTAGGCACTTCCCTTTCTCTGGAGGTGATAGGAATACAATCCTGTCTTGATAGTGCCTAGCAGCCCAATAGCACCTTATTTCAATGTGACTAGTTTGGAATGTGAGGATGTGACTGTTCGCTTCCCAGGTTATGGCTGCTTCTGCTGCTTAGCCAAAGGCCTTAGCCTAAGAACAGGGCCTCAGACTGTCACAGTAAGAGAAGGCCCTTACACCAGCAGATAGTGATTTTGATTCTTTCTTTTATACCTCTATAATTAGCCAAGTGATAAGAATACACCTAAATTCTTAGAGTATAGGCCTTTACAGACAGGCCTGAATATCTATATCCTAACAGCGCAATGGGGGATTGAGGGGGGAAGTAAAACACTAAAAGACCAGAGAAATGCCTGCCCCTGTCTGGAGCACAACCTCACTCCTTACCCCTCCCATGGGGTAAAAAAGGGGTGGGATGAAGACCCCGACTCACGACCCTCCAGAACAGAACATGACCATAAATTATAAGGGGTGTGAAAAGGGTCATGCATTGCAGCTATGTATGGGCCTGCTAAGAAGGAGTTGGAGTGGGAATGGGGAAAGGGGAATGATAATGGATGAATGGGAGACTGGGAAGAGGAGAATGAGGAACAGAGACACAGGCAAGGCCCAACAGCGTCAGAGCTGGAAACAGAACACTGGGAAGAGGAGGCTCCCTCAGTGTATTGAGCTAGGGTTTAGAAGAAGAAGGGGTTCTACCGGCGTATAGAACTGTAGTAGGGGGAGGGGGAGGGGAAAACTCTATTGGCACCTAGAGATAAGCCTGACTGCTGTGAAGGGCTTCAGACTTCTGGTCTTCTGCTTTCAGTCTGCGTGACAATAACCAGGGAAGGGGGTGAAGGGAAAGCCCTCTATTAAAGTCATTCACAAAAATCTTCATGAGGATTCTTGGCCAACAGAGAGGGCCTTGTCTGTTTGTGTCTTTTTCACTGTTTCTCAATCCAGGATGGAGTTGTGTCATTAATGTATATTCCTGATTCTTTTGCAGGTTGCTACACATGGAATTCCATCTGCACAATCTCTTTGTCTTCTTTCAGGTTTACGGACACTTTGTCTCATGGCTTCTTAAATGGAAAGTGTTGTTTCTGCTACTATGAGGAAATTATTATAATCCAGCATATTTTTAGACACTGAGTAGAAAATGTCTCTCCACTTTTGTCTCCTTTATTGCAGAGTTTATATCATCTTCCATTCTGTAGTTTATTATTTGATCTTTCACCTCTAGTTTAAAACCATTGGTTCTATAGTTTAAAACCATTGGTTTCTTAGTTTTATACATGTCATTGTGGAGAGGTAGCAGTTGAATTTGTTGTTTATCTGGTGCGAGTGACTCATGCAGTACTGTTGATCCAGGGACTTGGACATCCTTGAGTAAATCTTCTGGCTCCCCTGGTAAGATTACTGTGTTTGGAGAGGTAGTGATGTTATGTAAGAGTACATTCTGCCTTCATTTCACTATAGGTTTAGAACCTCCAGTGTGGTGGTATGCAAAGATTGTATGCAGGTTTGGCGTCCTGCCCAGATTTACTTGGGATGGGGAGATGATGTGCACTGCTCGACATGCTAGTCTTGTATGAGATATAAACCAAGGCCTTTGTTTCCTCTCTCTCCTCATCTTCACTGGCTGTCAATGTGGAAGTTAAAAAAAATATAATGGCTCTTTGAGATAGTCCTAGTCTTGTGACTATCAGTCCATTCACTAATAAAAAGAAGATGTCAGGGTCTAAGGCATTCAGCAAGAGTTCACACAAGGCATCCTGGCTTTTTTATTTATTTACTGTAAATGCAGTTACTGTCCTTGAAAAGTATTTGAAGATATGACATCTAGAGTAAACAAAGTGCTTTAAAAAGCCAAAATTGAATTTTATTCTATTCCACTTCTTGAAACCATACCATTTCAAATCCTGTATGATTTAGGAAGAAATGGGGTACTTCACCTGCTGAAGGGGCTGTCACATTTAAGTGATTAATGTTTGTACAGCACTTGAATGCATTGATGTGTAAATGTGGTCACACTCTTACTTTCAGATGGTACTATCTTTTGACTTTACCAGTTCTAATGGTGTTTCCAATTATATGTCTATGAGGAAATATCTCTCATCCCCATAAAATGTTCAAATCACTATTTATTTACAGTTATGCTATTAAAATTTAGCTCTTTTCCTCCTTATCATGTTACAAAGGAGATCAGTATCACTTTGCCTCTGTGCCTCAGTTTATCTTTCTGTTAAGTGTCTTGTCCCAGCCCACACATCAGGCCAATGGCTGAGTCAAAAATAGAACTGACGTTTGAGTCCCAGTCCAGTGCTCGATCCACTAGGTCACACTGCTCTTTTCTCATTTTATTGTTTAAAGCCTACAAAGCACTGCACCTGTAAAATAAATTTCATAGAATCTTTAAATATCACCCCATTTTCCAATGATCTGCTTCTCCAAATCAATTGAACAATACCCAGCATGTTCTAAAATGTCTGATTTTAATAAGATACAAAACAGTTTTATAAGGAATAAGTGCAGATTTACTTCCTGTTCACAAACAAATTGTTCTATCACCGGTATGCTCTAGCAATTTTTGACATTTGCCACCTAGATTAGCTGAATTTACCAGGGCATTTGCAGTCTCTTGCATTCACAGTATGGCACATTCCTGCAAGGACTATGGTATGGTAAACATCTAGTTTTGAGTGGCACCCACTCTATAATGCACTGAAAAGTACAGGGCTCTTTACTGAAATCATTTCAAAGCGATGGCAAGTGCCATAAAGTTAAACAAAAAGTTATTTTTAAGGCTTGTTATAATTCTTCATTTTCCCTTAATATTCAGCACTTTGTTCCCCTAAGAAGCTGCATATATACTAACAATGCTAGCCTCTTTGAATCTGGTTACATTTAGAATAATAGCTGGAAATATATGAAATTGTTTAATGCTCCTCTATTCTAATGTCTTTTAATGTTAATAGTTAGGGCCTCTGAAATATCAGAAGTTATCTAAACACAAAGATGAATTTCTGAGAGTCAAGCTAGGCTCCAGCATTCACCAGGTGAGTAGTAAAAGATACTTATTTCTCAAGGCCACTTTCATATTAGCTAGTTAGAACTAGCTAAGAACCATGGCCCTTATTTTGGTATGTAATCTCTCCAAATAAATGCCTCCTCTTCCTCCAGTCTCCTTATTTGGAGAAGCTACAAAGAAAATGACAAATGTTGTAGGACTTTCTTGTCTTCTGGCCTGTTAATTATGTTAAATATTTGGCATGGCTGGGACTGATCTGCTATTTACTGAAGTCAGTGGCAAAACTCCCATTGAAGCCCATGGCAGCAGCCTCATTGTGTGTAATAGATAATCATTCATCCATGGTTGGAGGCAACTGTGCTTCCCAATTTCATTTCAAAAGCTAATGAAGTTGGCTTCAAGTCCACTTAATATACCTACCAATGCTAGATTTGGATCAAAATGTCAGCTCTGTTTCCCAGGTCTGCTTAGGAGTATTATAGCAGGCAAAATGAGACTGTGTTTAGATAATAACCATAATATAACTGAGACAAGACACAAGCTTCTCAAAAAATATTTATGGATAGATAAAAATGCTAATACTCTAGTAACCACAGAGTAGTGACTGACATCAATAGTTAGAAATAGCAAAACTGATATAGGTCACTTTACACTGATTTTTTTTCAAAGAAAGCTAATTTAAATGCAATTATATCTCCAAAAGATGTGAAAATGTTTGGGATGCTAATCCTGATTACGTTGAAGTCAATGGAAATCTTGTTGTTGGCAACATGGTTGAGCAACTGATGTTAAACAGTTTTCCTGTTGAAACTTTCATGGATTCTATTACTACTAACCATGCCCTGTGTGACACACAGCCAGAAAGGGTTAAGCAACTTGCAGGCTAATTGACCCAGATTCAACCTTTAGGGACATATTGGTAGATAAAGGTTCTAGTTTTTTGTGTTTACATATATATTGTTAGAGGGTGATAACCAAACAGTTCCTGTCTATCACTGTATTCTGTTAATTCAGAGATCAAAGGAGATGTTAACATTTAAATGAACTGTGAATGGAGTAATATCATTGTTCTTATTTCTCTTTGAAGTATATAGTAAACTACCTGTAAATGGTAGGAGATAGGCAATTGCCTTATGTTAATCCATATAGCTAATTACCAGTGATACTTTTAGGAAATAGGAGGTTACTTCAAAGAAAACTATTCTTCACCTTCTGTCAAGAGGCTGACAATAGCCTGCCAGGGATCTACAGAAACTCTTGGGCCCTGATCCTTTCATCTCAGATCTGCATAAGCTTCATTAGGGGAAGTTTGAGTTGCAAGACTGAGATGCCCAATCCCACCTGGATCATCCTGATATTGGACATTGGATTGCAACCTATGGACTAATTCTGAAAGGACTCTTTGCAACTCTAAAGTTCACCATTTCTACTATGAAACTGTCCTAAATACTCGATTCATGTCTGTATGTATAATGATCTTTTAACCAATACTCTCTCTTTTCTTTTTTTAATACATTTTAGTTTAGTTTATAAAAATTGGCAGTAAGCATGTATTTAGGTAAGATCTGAAATATTCATTAACCAGGTGGATAATGTTTCCAATCCTTTGGGATTGGTAGAACTTTTTATATGATGAACAAGATTTTCAGTATTAATCATATTTGACTTGGTGTCTGGGTCGGAGCCCAAGGCTGGGTTGTTTTAAGGGAACTATGTTTTGGCTTCTGGGTAACCAGTAAGGTATTGTAGAAGTTGTGTTGTTGCTGGCTTGGTGAATCACCAAGATTATTAGAATCGCCACCAGTTTTGGGGGTCGTCTGCCCCATTCTTTGCAGTTTGCCCTAACTGAGCAATCTCAGTGTAGCCTCCCTGGTACTGTGGTCACACCCCATCTTATATTTTTGTGGGCATCTCTCATTATTCACAAAAAGAAAAGGAGTACTTGTGGCACCTTAGAGACTAACAAATTTATTTGAGCATAAGCTTCCGTGAGCTACGGCTCACTTCATCGGATGCATTCAGTGGAAAATGCAGTGGGGAGATTTATATACACAGAGAACATGAAACAATGGGTGTTACCACACACACTGTAAAGAGAGTGATCACTTAAGGTGAGCTATTACCAGTAGGAGAATGGGGGAGAGGGCTTTTTGTAGTGATAATCAAGGTGGGCCATTTCCAGCAGTTGACAAGAAAGTCAGAGGAAGAGTGGGGGGTGGGAGGGTGGGGGATAAACATGGGGAAATAGTTTTACTTTGTGTAATGACACATCCACTCCCAGTCTCTATTCAAGCCTAAGTTAATTGTATCCAGTTTGCAAATTAATTCCAATTCAGCAGTCTCTCGTTGGAGTCTGTTTTTGAAGTCTTTTTGTTGAAGTATTGCCACTTTTAGGTCTGTAATCGAGTGACCAGAGAGAGTGAAGTGTTCTCCAAATGGTTTTTGAAGTTATAATTCTTGACATCTGATTTGTCTCCATTTATTTTTGATGTAGAGACTGTCCAATTTGACCAATGTACATGGCAGAGGGGCATTGCTGGCACATGATGGCATATATCACATTGGTAGATGTGCAGGTGAACGAGCCTCTGATATTGTGGCTGATGTGATTAGGCCCTATGATGGTGTCCCATGAATAGATATGTGGACACAGTTGGCAGCAGGCTTTATTACAAGGATAGGTTCCTGGGTTAGTGGTTCTGTTGTGTGGTGTGTGGTTGCTGGTGAGTATTTGCTTCAGGTTGGGGGCTGTCTGTAAGCAAGGACTTGCCTGTCTCCCAAGATCTGTGAGAGTGATGGGTTGTCCTTCAGGATAGGTTGTAGATCCTTGATGATATGTTAGAGAGGTTTTAGTTGGGGGCTGAAGGTGATGGCTGGTGGCATTCTTTTATTTCCTTTGTTGGACCTGTCCTGTAGTAGTACCCTGTCTTCTGGGTACTCTCCTGGTCCTGTCAATCTGTTTCTTCACTTCAGCAGGAGGGTATTGTAGTTGTAAGAATGCTTGATAGAGATTTTGTAGGTGTTTGTCTCTGTCTGAGGGGTTGGAACAAATGTGGTTGTATCATAGAGCTTGGCTGTAGACAATGGATCATGTGGTGTGACCTGGGTGAAAGCTGGAGGCATGTAGGTAGGCATAGTGGTCAGTAGGTTTCCGGTATAGAGTGGTGTTTATGTGACCATTGCTTATTAGCACCATAGTGTCCAGGAAGTGGATCTCTTGTGTGGACTCGTCCAGGCTGAAGTTGATGGTGGGATGGAAATTGTTGAAATCATGGTGGAATTCCTCAAGGGCTTCTTTTTCATGGGTCCAGATGATGAAGATGTCATCAATGTAGCGCAAGTAGAGTAGGGGCATTAGGGGACGAGAGCTGAGGAAGCGTTGTTCTAAGTCAGCCATAAAAATGTTGGCATACTGTGGGGCCATGCGGGTACCCATAGCAGTGCCGCTGATTTGAAGGTATACATTGTCCCAAAATGTGAAGTAGTTATGGGCGAGGACAAAGTCACAAAGTTCAGCCACCTGGTTTGCCGTGACATTATCAGGGATACTGTTCCTGATGGCTTGTAGTCCACCTTTGTGTGGAATGTTGGTGTAGAGGGCTTCTATATCCATAGTGGCCAGGATGGTGTTTTCAGGAAGATCACCAATGGATTGTTGTTTCCTCAGGAAGTCAGTGGTGTCTCGAAGATATGCATCCGATGAAGTGAGCTGTAGCTCATGAAAGCTTATGCTCAAATAAATAAATTGGTTAGTCTCTAAAGTGCCACAAGTACTCCTTTTCTTTTTCCGAATACAGACTAACATGGCTGCTACTCTGAAACCTCTGATTATTCAGGTGCTCCCTCCTGCCGCTTTTCACTGTCCTCTTACTACCTATGTGTCTTCTATGCAGACATACGACTCTGTTGCCCAAAGCACCAGTGGAAACCTTAGCTCCAACTGAGAGTTACTCCGTTCCTCCCCTTAGCTTTACACTGCTTCTATTCCAGAACCATTCAAGGGCCCAGCGTCAGTTACAAGTTTTGACAACTCAAGGGTTGCTTTAGCTTATGTGCTGTTCACCATTGCCCCCTTCGACTGCAGGGAGCAAACAGTAGCTGGAATTCAGTATGGTCCAGCCACAGCCACATTCTGCTTCAAATGCCTCTTGTCCTGGCATTCCTCCCAGAAGTCCTGGGTTTCATGGAACTGTTCTCCTTTGATCTCCAAATTCCCCTGTTCTGGTTGAAGTTAACACTTCCTGCATTTGTGGTGTCCTGTGGGAGAAAGGAGATTATTGTCCCAGGCCTCCCAGTTAAGAGTGCCCCCAAACCAAATGGTGTTGCAACCTGTTACACAGGGTTGCAGTGTGGCTCAACCTTGGCCCAGCTGCCCTTCCATCTCCAGCTGCAAAGGGGCAGATGGGCTAAACTTGAGTTGCTCTGCATCCAGTTTAGCCAATTGAAATGTTGCGAGATATGCACTGGCATACACCGTAAGTCAGGGATGGGGCAGCAGGGGAGAAATGTTCTTGGGGCACTGTGGAGACACCCCTTATTCAAAGTGTACTCCCTGGAGGCAATTCTAACCCTTACTGTACAAATGAATCCTATGGCTCCCCATTCAAAAGGCTTTAAAGAGAATTAATTTAATAAAACAACTGTTACTGACAACTTCATCAGCATTGCACCAGTTAGTAAACATGGTAATAACACTGAAAGGAGGTAGTTATGGTAAGGAAGCAAACCAATGCTAACAGCAATAAAAAATTAGCTATAAAATATCAATTTTGAGAAAATCAAGAAAAAGATGGTTGCCAAAAGTTTGTCATTTGAAAAGATACAGAAGTCTGGATTTGTCTGCTAATGCTAGTCTGAAAAGTATCAACAGGTTTCTAATTAGAGAGCAAAGCACACACCTCTCACTTCTATGGCCATATGTCACCCTCACATGTGCCCTGAGAACATCAGATGTCTGTCTAATGTAAACAACCTCAAGCACTTACATAATGCTTCATATTTCAAAGGTTTGTAACATTCTTGGCTGGCTGGTTCAGGGGAAAGGCAGGACCATATCTCTCCATTTCCCTGACAGCACCAGTAAGGGGACAAGCAGGGAGCAAGGACTGCACTTCCTGCAAGATTATGGCCAATCCCTGCACGGGAACACACAAGGTAGGCAGAGTCCAGAGCAGAAGCTCTTGTTCCAGATTCTGCACCTACATGCAGGTGGGCTAGAATCTAGCATTAGTTGAGCACTTGGAATTTTTTCTGATCTGATTTTGAGTTTTGATGTACAACGTCATACACATTCATTCAGGCGTTCCAACAGACTACACAAAATCTAATTTACACACACATCATATCCACCTAATTATCCTGCCAATCAAGAATAAACAGTATTATACTGTTTCATAAACATGTAGGCTACACATTTCACTGCAATACTATTACACTTACAGTGTCTGTTCACTTAGGCACAATCAGCAATAGCTACTATATTGTTGACATCTGTATTTCTGGAAAGGAAGCTTGTTAAATTGTCCAGAAAACATGCTAACTAAGTAAATATAATACTCTAAATAATAATAAATAAGTAATCTCTTACTTTCATAATAAACAAAGTATTTGAATATCATTTTTGACTGCCATCTATGTTTAAATAGTACTTCGTCTTTTTTTCTATTCTATCTATAACTCTAAGGCTTTGTCTACACTATCAAGTTTTGTTGGCAAAAGTTATGCTGCTTTAATTAAAGCACTTTATTAAAATCGCTGTTGCATGTCCACACTAGCTCCTTGTGTCAGCGGAGCACATTCACACTAGAAGCTCTTGCATTGACACAGAGAGCAGTGCACTCTGGTAGCTATCCCAGTGTGCAACTGGCTGCAGGATGCTTTGGGATGACTCAAGGGGAAGGTACAGCATCACATGATGCAGGTTTCTCAATCTCATCATTCCATGGGCATCCTAGTAGATTGTCAGCCACTTTTCAAGTGAAGCATGTAGGGGGAGGGAGAGGAGAGTAGTGTGTCTGGGATGGGGGAGACAGCAGGCTGAGTGACCTATTCTGAGGCAGAGGGAGGGGGATGCTGCTCCCACATCAGCCCCGGGCTCTCCTTGGCACAGCATTCTCTCCTGAAGCAGCCCGCTTTGCCTGCCTATGCTTCTGTGATTCCCTCTGAGTTCTCCCACAGCCTCCTCAGCTGCCCAGAGGGACATCCCAACCAGCTCTGTGAGCTCAGCACAGCAATCCCCCGCCCCCATTCCACTCCCTGCAGCAGTAGTTCCCTCCCCCCCATTCCTAGTGTAGGGAGAACAGGAGCATTCCATGTTAATGATTTGCTCTTTGTTCCCAGAGCAGAGCAGCATGCTCAGTTGTGAGATACTTCCTGAAGCTTTGAAACAGGAGGGGCACATGCCTGCAGGGCAGCGGAGATTGAAACAGTTGGCAGAGTGGTCATGGCAGGCATTGTGAGATACTGGTAGAAGCCAGTTATGTTGACAAACCAAACAGCAGTGTCTACACTAATGCTTTGTTGCGTTAACTTTTCCACAAAAAGCTTTATGCCTCTCATCTACTTGGTTTTGTTTTGCTGCCAAAAGTGGTTTTGTAGTGTAGACACCTCCACTGTTTTGTTTGTAAACGGAAGCTTTTTCTGACAAAACCTTGTATTGTAGACAAGGCCTAAGTCTGCGTTCTACCATCTGGCATAGTTTTGAAAATATTTTTAATAATTGCCTAAAATAATGGAGACTACAGTAAAATTGAAAAAAAAAAAAACCTCATTGCGTGCTTTGCTCACAATGACTCAGGACAAGATAGGACCCAGGAGAATCAGACAAAAACAATGCACCGTGTAACAGAGTACTTACTAACAGCAATCTCACAGTAGATCTCTTACTTCTCTTTTCATCCCCACATGGTTCTGATTTTTGAGGCACTGATGAAGGAAAATGCTCTCAGGTGCTGCAGGGTCAAGAGGAATCTGATTTCCCTTGTAAAGACGCTCAATTTACTCAGGGTACCTTGCTGTAAGGTTTGTGGGAAGCTGGAAGTCTCCTTTTCTTACATCTAAGCCCTGGTCTACACTATGGGGTTAGGTCAAATTTAGCCGCGTTAGGTCGATTTTAAAATGAATGTATCCACATGACCAACCCCATTCCGTTGACTTAAAGGGCTCTTAAAATCGACTTCTGTACTCCTCCCCAGTGAGGGGA